GCCGCTCCTCTGTGAAGTTAAAATCGGAATTTAGATTCACCATCATATTTGTGGAGAACGCTAAGGGAGCATCCGTGCACTCACTTCATCGTTACCTACTGGAAGTTTAGTCCTTACCATTCCGTTTTAGATAAAAAATTGGTTGATGGTAGAACGGCATCCCGTACATCTTCTCCCGCGTCTAACAAGTACGTTCTATTGAGCTTACGGATGCTTTTCCCGTTTGATCTGAAGTTCACTAGTCCGCACTCAGTTTTCCATGCTTTTTTGAATTTGGAAATTAAACAAATATTGTTCAATTTTTTCGCTCAATTTTTAAAGTCGATTTTCAATGCCCTAGTCCCATACCATATGCTCTTCCAGGGGTTCGTTGAATGGATCAGACAGGACTAAAAACGAACGAACACCCACATGTCCGTCGTCATCCGATGGTACATTGGTCATATCACCCTGTCCACGCAATTCTCCTTCTCCCGCCAACACCGCCTCCGATTTCCGGAACCATCCGCAAAAGCGTCACAGTCCTCTTGACTCACATGTTGTCAACGATGCACCACAGCATCGGCGAAATCATTCGAGCGAGGAGGATGAGGACACCATGAATCTCCTCTCTAGCAGTGCCTCGGAAAGTCGGCATTATCCCTTGTCCCTCGATGCTCCAGAAGTGTTGCAATTCGTTGATTCCCACCTCTCGATGCGTTTTCAACATCCCGTGGCTGACACACTCGAGACTGAAGTACATTCATTGTGTTTCTCAGGCAATTTCATGTTTTAACTCCTTGTTTTCACCACAGTCATGGTCTACATCAGTGAAGGGCTTATGGTCGCAACTCCGATCACCTGTCATTGTTTGTCTAGGCTCGTTAAGTTTGTCATATCTGTTTACTTCCCAAATGCGAAAATTGGGGTGCGTATTTGTGGTGCCTACTGCCTCGGAGGTCTTGTCCTCCTGATCTTTCTTCCTCGCTGTTTTCAGGCACAGTCACTGCTTCGTAATTTCGACCGCCTACACAGTGTCCTCTATAGCGAGCTGTCTGGCGAACTAAAGAAGCTGCGTGCATTGGTATGCATAAGCGAAACGAAGCTAAAAATTCACCAGCAAAGGTACTCAGTCTTTGGTTGTCATTAAAACAGCGCACTTCTCGGAATGTAGGCATTTTTAATGTTTTAATGTCTAGGAAGGAATCTCTGCAAGAACTCATGGACGCGATCGAATCGAAAAAGGCACCTCCTCTTTTGGGTTCACCCGATGCACCAATTTAAATGCCGCCATCCTTCTGGCAGAACGCGTTCAACCATTCACGTCATTTCATTCCGTTTCTGCTCTTCAGTGGCAGCTGCAAGCTACGTACTCTCTAAGCTACCGTTCCCACGATCGCGAATCCTTTCATCCGCGCTCCCTTCTGTAAAGTATCCTCGTTCTGTCCCTCCACCTCAAGCATGCCCTTCCGTCTACGGTCGGTGCTTGCACCCTCTGACAAAGTGTGGTTGGTGTTAATATTTTTTATTTTATTACGTGATTGCCTGCCGGATTGTAGTGGCCACAAGAGGCAACGTGGGGTGATAGTTCAGCTTAATCTCCCGCCCTATGTACAGTTGTACACTTATTCAGATTATAATTTTTATCATGACTGTCTTTGACTTTCAATGAGGCGGCGAAGTTGAGAATTCAGATCACTCACGACTCGATTACTTGAAGGTAGTATCACCCCACTCCAAATGCCAAGGACTGATGAAGGACCGGCAACCGGCGTAGTTTTTGAGTAGTGCTTGTCCTGGAGGGTAGAAAGGGTTGACATTTTTTTCGGCAATGTAGACTTCCAACTTTGACTCGGTATCAAGCAATTCCTGGGACACGAACCGTGCTCCAAAAGGCAAGAGATCGGCTATTCCGGTGAGTATGCGAGAGGCCTCATACCAGTCAAGGTAACCGCCAAGTTCCACAATAATTCTGTTAGCCCTGACGGGCGTAACGTAGTGATGAATATCGGCTAAGTGTGGGTGATTACCGCATTAAAAGCAAGTTACCCTTCCCGCCCCCCATTCGTTTACCGAGGGACTTTCTAGTCTTCGGTTTCCAGGGTCCCGGTACTCTCCAGACGGCAAACATTCTCCTTTCATCAATTTTTCTGTTTATGGTTGCACGAATCATGTCTAGGTGTCCAATCAACAGCTCCCCACCTTCGAGAGCCTAAGCAAACAACACCATTTTGAGACCGATGTACACAAAGGATAAGATGAAACACTTCCTCATTGTTCATCCAGGTCATAAACTACGCGGGCAATTTTCTCGAAATTGCCAAAAGAGGATAGAACACTCACAATAGCGAATGCAGCTTATTGTGACTAAGTTTAGAGTGAAAAGATGTCAAGAAGTTAAAGAAACTGCGGTACCTGTATACCAAATTGCGAATGGGATAGCAGGTGGTTGATGTTTTCTGGGCCACGAAGATCATAGTGTCTCCTAGGATACTTTAACATCCGTTCACCACTTGATAAGGTCGGAGTACGAGGGAGAGGATGCAGCTTCCGCTGCTCAGGAGGGAATTCAACATCATCAAGCTCACCGTGGAAGACGTAGTTCTTCATGTAGTGCCTCTCACTAAACGGCAATGGTATACTATGGAAAGGGGCACCATCAGTTCTTAAAATGTGAGACAGGTTCTTGAGTAATCCATTACAACATCGGGGAAACACGGTCCGTAACATACTTGAGTGAACGGTGCACAGCGGCCCCGACACCAACGAAATTCAATTTAGGAATGTATCAAAAGTGATTCGGACTAGCCATTGATCAAAATGTTGGATTAAATTAGCTTGTGTATATCAGAAGAAAAAAATGAGGGACATGAATGATGTACATATAAAATTTATAAAAGGGTTTCGTTATTAATGAGGACAAATTTTTTGATTTTTAACTGTGGACATAAATTTGGCACCATCGACGTAAAAATTGCGGTAATTTGACATTAAATTAAGGCAACAAAGCGTGTTTAATGGACAAATATGCTTAAAGGGGTAAAAATGCTTGATTCATTATTAATATTAGTCGAAGTTACACTAAACTTTGACCCTCATATCAGGATTCCTAGAATTCTACCTTTTTAAGTCATTTATAAGACATAGGGAACTGTGTAATTCACGTAGAAACTGCCTGTAACTTATACTGGAGTGCTTGTGTTGACCTTTTAGGAGTGAGAGGGAATCGAAATATTTGGAATTCGATTTTCGTGCGTTAGGGTCTTGTGGAATTCCTCTCCGAGTGATACCGGCTCTTAGGCTCATCTATACTTCTATTCCCTTTCTTCT